TCCCCCTCTTTCCTCATCCCTGCCTTTTGGAGATGGATACTGTGGGATACCCCAGCAGTCCTCTGTTAAATGTGAACTTCTGAATGACTATGTGGAATAATGCCCTCCCCTTTGGCGTTTACTGTCCATTAGACTTTAAGTGAGCAAGAAACAAGCTTCTGTTTTGTTAAAATATGATGTTTTGGGGTTTACACAGCTGTTGGTGTTTCCCTAACTGAAGCAAAACTTGATATCTCATATGCAGGGCTGTCTGATAAAAACCTAAAGCGTGTGGCTTAGTTTAGTGGGCAAGCAGCAAGTGGCAAGGAAACCGAGGCTGGAAGCTGGGACACTGCAGACCCTCTCCGCAGAAGTGTCGCACATGTTGCCTGGGAAGGCAGACGGTGCCTACTGAGCCTGGCACCCTGAGGATTAGTTTGATAAACTGAATGTTAATAGGGTGTTACCAGTTGTGTTTAGCAAGGTATTGGAAAAAAGAAATGAGCTTAGACAAGTGTTGGCTGGCTTACGAGCAAAAAACAGAGGGAGTTATAGAAAGTCCCCAAATTTGGCATCTTATAGCATTGCAAATGCCAACTGCTTCTAGTCCCCAGCAGCACCAGCTGTGTACTTTGTGTGGCCCAGTGCAAAATGAAAATGCAGGCTGAGTATTAAGCCAAACATGGGCCCCTTCTCAGTGTGCAGGTCCCCCAAAAAGCTGGCCCTGGTGCCCAAATTAAACTGTAACATTGAGAGGTTTTAATCAGCAAAGACCCATTAAGATTTAACCTTGAGGCAAAGATCAGACTAAGTTTGTGGCCATACCCCCACTGGTTACAGCTTCAAGCTTGCTTCTGTTAAATTGAGAGACAGCGGTCAAGTGAGGAAGCAAAGAAAGAAATCAGACCTGAAAATTAAATGGAGACTTTTTGGATATTGTTGCTGGTATGTGAAACTGACTGGAAGCAAATGAATCAGAAGCCTCCTAAGTTTTTGAGGAATTATATATGTCAAATAAACCATGAGATTTATAACTTTGTCAGTACTTAGAACTACCAGACTTAAGAATTTTTACTAATCTTGTGAGTGGAAAAGTATATCTAATTGAGGTTTAAATGTGTATTTTCTTGATTATCAATGAGCTTGAGAATCTTATTTTGGCCATGCCTGTTTGGGTTTTGATTTTTTTAAAACCTATTTGTCTTTTAAAAATAATATTGTTAAAAATTGATTTTTTGGAATTCTTCATATATTCTGGATGCTCACCTTTTTCCAGGTATGTGTGTTGTAAATAGCTTCTTCTACATTGTAGATTGTCTTTTTTATTATTCACAGAGTCAAATTTATTCATCTTTTCTTTTATGGTTTAATGTATTTTATATCTTGTTTAAAACAGAAATTTTTTCTTACCCAATCACCTATGCTTTCTTTCAAAAGTTTTAAAACTCTTATTTTTCACATTCAAGCCTCTCATTCCCCTGAATTTGCTTTTGCCTGTCGATTGAGGTAGAGAGTCAATTTAATTTCTTTTTCTATGTCTTTTGACACCTATCAAGTTCTAATATATGTATAGGTCTGTTTGGGGGCTGTTTCCTCTTCTATTTGTCTATTGCACTGTGCCAATATTATACTTTCTTAATGACTCTGCCTTCACAATAAGTATCAATATTTGGCAGCAAACCGCCTCAACATTATTATACTTCAAGAAAGTCTTGGTTATTCCTGCTCTTGGATTTTCCATTTTTATTTTAAAATGGGCTCATCAAGTTCAATGTTTCAAATTAATTTTGACTGGAACTTTATTAATTTCAGGTCAGCTCGAGAAAGTCATCTATTTATGATAGTAAATCTTACTAACTATGAGCATGTTATAATCTTCATTTATTTGTATTTTTATATTTTTCTCACATATCTTTTGTTAAATGTAGTTAATTGTAGAGAGGTCATTGTATCCACAGTAGTTACTCACGAAGAAGCTGATACCAAGAGCAGTTAACTGGCTTCTCTTAAATTCATTAAGCTAGAAAGTGAATAGGACACTAGCCCAATTCTTAATCCATACCTTTTTTTCTCACCTCATTCTGTCTCATTAAATAGGAACATATTATTTGGATATAGCATGGATCCCATCACATCTGCCAAGCCATAATGACCAGACACAGTTATAACTAGAGGTGTTATACTCTGTCTCTTTCACGGATATTCCTCCCATTCTCTTGTTCCCATGCAGTAAATGTTTTACTTTGTTTGAGTAGACACCCCTGGGCTTCAAGAGCATGCTTGTTTATGAAAGATAACATACGAGATTGGAAACCTCATCTCTTCTACCTCTCGCCTTCCACATGCCTTTGTGGGAAAGTCTTTAGATCATTTATGAAACAGGTTTTTTTCCTTTTTCTTTCTGTCAGTCTTTGAGTAGGAGAAAATAGACACATTTGTCAGCAAGAAGACTGGTTCTTACACTAAGGATGGCTTGAATTTTTCAGCCAGTGTTTACAAAATGAGCTTCTGTTCACACTAATCATGGCTAATGTCCCCTTGTTGATGAGCAATAATCCTGGCATGCTAACACAGCTGGAGAGTCTATTTACCTGCCAACTCCAGAGCTGCTTGGCTGTAATGACAGATGGGAAATCAAGTGAGTTCCATTTATGAATAAGATATAGAGACTATGTGAGCTGTTGAGAATACCAGCTGCCCTCATTCCAGAAGGAGGCCACTGATGGCAATAAAAGGCATAGACAACTAAAAAAATAGGTATAAAGGAGACATAAAATTGTATTAAAGAATCAAAACTGTAGTTATTTTCCTTTGGGGGGGGGATAGTGGCAGACTGCATATCAGTGGAAAATAAATCTCTAAGTGGCTTCGTCCCATTTCAGAGACTGGAGACCAGAGGGACCCAAGCGTGCAAGGACGGGAAGATGTAATAGCAAGAGACATAGAAGACTCTGGAGAGAGACAGGAGCTCAATCATAGTGGGGTGAGGCCTGCTGAGAAAGGGTGGAAGGGTAACTGACAGAACACGGAAACCTTCTATCACCTACAACTCCAGTCACTTCTGTTCTATTCACTCCTCTGAGTGGTGAACCCAAGGAAAGTGGGTGGGCTTCATGGCATATTGGGCCAGGAGTAGATGGGACAGAAAAGCTATAGGAGATGAGACAGTGTGGGAGGAGAGCTCAGAGGGACAAGCAGGGAGGAGCACACCAGTCTCCTGGAATTGGTAGAGATGGGGTTTAAACCCATCTGACTTAAGTCTGAGAGTCCAGGCAAACCTCATCTACTTTAACAAAATTGATCCCTGAATCTACCAGTCATGAATCAGCTTTTAGATTTTAAATACATCAAAACAAAAACCTCAAGAGGTGAGACTGGCATAGCTCTCTGAAGGAGAGAGTGGCCTGGAGGGGAAGCCACGCTAAGGATACTGAACTTGGTGTTTAATTTTTAAACGTCTTTAAAAAGGAAATTGAGCTCTCTTTCAGTTATTCACCACCTCTCTTTCTATTATGTTCTTCTGCCTGATAGGTACCCTGATTTAAAGGAGAAAATATACACTTTCTCGTCAATTATATGTGCATTTGAATCCTGGTTGTGTCATGTGTTACCTGTGGAAATAAGCAAATTGCCTCACCTCTGAGCCTGTTCTCTATCTGTAAAAGACAGTTACTAATACCACATCCAAGGCCTGTGTAAAGATTAAAGAAGTTAGCATATAGAAAGGACCTAGTAGAGTGGCTGACAGTAGCTGCTTTGTCTGTCCCTCTGTCTTGTCTGTGTTAAGAGACTGAATTAAAAAATGGACAACAGCCAGCCATATATGAAAATAGAGCTCTGACCCTCCAGAAAAAAGACTTCAAGAAAATCTAGTTATTTTAACCTCTTGGAGCCCAGAGATGTTATGTGAATTTGCACAGCCCTTAGTGACACATCTAGAACAGGAAGTGGCCCTTCTTATTCCAGATGTTTGTGTTATAGTTTGTTGTCTTTGTGTGAGTGTGTGTGGGTGTGAGTATGTATTTGTGTGTGAACACAAGCATGTATGTGTGTGTGTGAGACTGGGTGTACAAAGATGTGTGTATTTGTGTATATTTTGTATATTAACCTGTGGTGTGTGTGTGTGTGAGTGTGTGAGTGTGTGTGACTGGGTGTACAAAGATGTGTATATTTTGATATATGTGAGTCAGTGTTTTGTGTGTGATTGAGTGAGTGTGTATGTGTGTGTGTATGGGAACACAAGGAATGAGAGAGGCACAGAACCTGAGTAGAACCAGTCTCCGTCTACAAAGCTATCACATTTTAGTAACCTGAAAACTAGAAGCCCCTTTTCCATCTTTCTGGCAATTTGGTTTGCTGTGTTTTCTCCAGGTTGACCTGCGTAAGATCCAGTAATGTTTGCTTGGGGAACAGATCAGGACTCTGAGTCTCAGAGCCTGTAACACAGAAGGTAGTTTGCACCTAGGTTTACTGAAAAGGAATTTGAGGAAGCATTGTAGGAGGTGGTCTCAGACTTGGTCCAGTTTGAAAGGGTTTGTCAGGCATCTGGGAAAGAAGGCCCACCAAGCCTTGATGGGTTTAGGGTTCAGGATCATTCTATGGACAGATGACAGTTTTCACTCATTTGTAAATTCAAGCCAAATAGAAAAGCCTAGCTTTGTGTTTGATGAATGTGCAATGTCTTTCTCAAACAGTCACTCTTTTCATCTCTGTGTCTTCCAGGATGCTTCTCTGTCAAGACTGAGGCTGGGGTGAACTTTAGATCCTGGCTCGAGTAGTTCTCCGCCAGTACATCTTGGCCAGGCCCAATGTCTCCCATCCTTCTCCCAGTTTTCAGGGAGGCCACATAGGGAAGACAGAGCCTGCCTGGGACAGCCTCTGGTGGGTCTGGTCTGCTGACTGAGTCCTGATATAATCCTGTAGGCTTGTGTATCTGGGAAGCCTTATCTCACATTTGCTAGAGGAAACTTCTACAGGAGCGAAATTAGCCAGGAATTGAGCAATGCAGATTGGAGCCTTACCTGAGAAGTTGGAAATCACCATCTCATGGGCTCTGCTTTTAATCCAAATAGTTCGGATCACGATGCCATACATGACACTGTGGAAAGGACCAAAGGGAAGATTAAGATGGCTGGACACAGTGAAAGGACCATTCCCCTCTCCAGAGTGTGAGGGGCAGTGGAAACGTTCTCTTAGCCTTATGTGCCCTCAGTGCTGCTGATTGTAGAACTGTAGCCTATAGAAGTTGAAGGCAACCATAATAATTAGTTGGATATAATTATTTCTTTCCTGTGAGAAGGCTAGGACCTGGTGAAGCTAAACAACTTCCTCAAGGTAACCCAGATGGTCAGAGGTAGAGCTGTGGTTAGAATCCAAACACAGGCTTTGAAGTCAAAGACCTACGTTTCTTCTATTACTTGCCTGTTGCATGATTCTGAATTTAGATAATCTGTAAGGTGACAGGTGTGATCCCTGCCTCTGCTGTTTATGTCTTGGTGTGATGCTCTCCTCTTGAGTGTGGGCAGAGATGGTGACTTGCTTCCAATCAGTGCAATGTGGCAAAGGCGATGGGATGTATGTGACTACATAGCGTGTGGGGCATTTCTTGTAGTGTCTCTCTCCATTGCTGGTTTAGAAGAAGCAAGCTTCCATGAATCCTATGGCTGCAAAAAATTAATCCTGCCAAAAACCCGAGAGAGCTTGGAAAAGATCTTTTCCCAGTCTAGTTTCTGATGACCCCACACACACCACACCCTGGATAAAACCTTGATGATCCCCGCGCCTGAGCAGAAGACTCAGTCAAGCTATGTTCAGACTCTAGACCCACAGAGAAACTTTGAGATATTGTACGTTGTTTTAAGTCACTGGGTTCATGATAATTTGTTACACAGCAATAGATAACTAATAGATTGAACTTCAGTTGAGACTCTGCAAAATGGAATTAATAATACAAACCTCATGAATTCTTTTGGATATCAGATGTTGCAGTGTTTAAAGTGCCAAGCACAGTGCTTGAAAATTAGTGGAGACTTAAACAGTGTATTTTTCCCCACTTTTTTTTTTGGCCTGTTTTTTAATAGGATATCACACTTATTCTTGCATGATATAATGTGTCAGACAGGAAAGCAAAGTGTTAATAGTTTAAAAGCATCAACAAATTTTATATCTGATGTTCTCTTTGGTAAATATAGAAATTTACACTCTAATATTATTTGACATTTTGAATATATAAGCACCTAAACTAAAAACTTTGGGACAAATCAGTGTTTAATTTTAAAACTGCACGACCTTCCCTCTTGAGAATCATTAATTTAAAAAAAAATCAGAGCTCCAGTTTGCAGTAGCTGACAAAGCACTAATTGCTTTTAATGATCTTTAGAATATAACTTAATTAATGACAGTGTTTCAAGTCTCTGCTTCTCATTGCCTTTCCCCATTCTTGCTCAACGAACCCCTCCAAGTGCTCCAGCTCAGGGCCTTTTTGGAGCATTTCCATTTTTTCTCATATAACTGTCCAGGGACTTTTTGAAATCTGCATGCCTGTAGTAAAGGAAAAATGAGAAATAGTTATTATCATAGCCTATTTTTCAACCTAAGTTGAATATTTGCTGTAATGGGAAAACTTCTTTCCCTGGTTGATGAAATATTATACAAGGTAAGATTACAACCACCATGGAACATGAATGGTAAATGGCAGTTGCAACACCAGTCCTTAATTGACCAGTAATTCAAATATTTATTGACTGTCACCCATATACACGAGGGAAAAGCAGAGAAAGGTTAAGACTTCGTTGGCTTAAGGATTTAGGCCTATGTCACTCCCCCCCCTTCTTTTTTTACCTTAAGACCACACAAATAAGTGGAAAGTCAGCACCAGCTTTTCTGTGGCTTCATAAACACCTAATAACCAGGGTGCCAGAATCACTTATTAGCCAAGCCAGGCTGTTTCTTAGAGTGTAGCAGTCATGCTTCAGAAAGACTTCCATGTGGTTGTCTCCTGTTTTTTTTTTCTTTCTTTCTTTTTATTTACCTGATTAGCAAGTTCTGTGGATTGTCCTTTCAAAATGGCTCCATCATCTGTTCCTTTCTCTCCATCTGGGCTCTTCAGTGTTAGTTCAGACCCTTACAATCTCTCTTATTTCGATGACTCCTTTTGTCATAGTAAAATACACACAAAATCTACTATTTTAATCATTTTTAAGTGTACAGTTCTGCAGCATTAAGTGCATGTATGTTCTTGTGTAATCATCACCAACAACCTGTTTGATCTTCCCCAACTGAAATCTTATCTCCATCAAACCAAAGCATAAATGTTTCATGAAGTCATGTGTCATCTCGTGCAGGAGGCTTTCCAGCCTCTGCATCACTTAAATTTTAGTATACGTGCTGTTGAAACCAGCATCCTTATCGCCTGCCTGATTATTGCCTTAGTCAATTAACAGCCTCCCAGTCTGTTACCATCTCTAATACCCATGCCGCCATTGGAGTTGTAACTGCAGGACAAAGAGCCAATCTCTGGTTTAACCCCCACAGCAGCTCCTCTTTCCCACAGGACACTATCCAGTCGCTTCAGTAGAGTATTCAAGCCACCCAGTCTTTCTCACCTTTATCAGCCCTTTCTCCATCTTGCTGTCTCTGGACATATCCTTCCCCGTGTCTGGCCAAACCAATCCTGACTCCACACTTCACAGGCAGTAGGCTTCAGGTGAATGTGAGTTCCAGGGCTTTCCATCTCTCTGTGCCTGCTTTGCCCTCTCCCTGGAATGCATTTTTGTCCTGTTTTTCATCCATTCTACACACACCACTTTGCTATGCAACCTTCCTGAGCTGCCCTGTTCCCCTTGGTAATCAGTTCCCCCTTGCTGGTAGAACACCCATAGCACTGGGTTTTGTCTATGGCAGTTTTATCTTCAGATCCAGTGGTCCTAGAATAGTCCATTCTTATAAACAGAGCTAAGGAAAAGCATCTTCATTGTCTTGGGTACAACTTCCTTGGTATCTTTGTTCTATCATCACTCTCTCAACAGGTGTAAGATTTTCTGAAAGCTTCTCAGAAATCTGATAATGGAAAGATGGCCCAGATTGAGAAAAGTATCATTTCGTAGTCACTGACTGGTTTATTTCCTGACTTTATGGAATTGATCCAAACACAGATGGTAGAGTGGATGGAGGTAGAATGGTGATGATAAAGGTGGGGAAGGCTAAGGAAGACTGTGATAGGTTTACACGCCCTGCTTAGAGGCAACTTGTGTGGCAGGAGAATATGGAACTCAGGATATCAGAGCAGGGCCTGCAAGCCTATTAAGTAGTCAGTGGACAGACCTGAGGTCCTGAGACTTTGTTCTGGACCATATGTGAAAAGTGACCAGGAAATGGGAACAACAGTTCACTCTCCCCACAAGACACAATGGAGAGCATTCATCTAAGACCTTATGTGCTCTTTTCATGACCCTCAGGGTTCAGCACAGCGTTGGAGACTTGAAGGGCACTCATCATTGTCTTGGAGTCATAAACTTTTAGAGCCAAATTGGGCCTAATGTTCTATCACTGCTAGCTGGATTTCCTGACCCTACCATTTGGGACCTGAGGGTGATGAGCAGTTGTGTTCTGGAGATCTCACCAGAGGCTGTGTGCCCTGTGCTCTCACCAAGCATGGGGAAGTGAGGTGAGGGCTGACCCCTCAGTTGACAATGACTCTTTTTTCTATTCTCCAAGCATCAGTCTTAAGGATACTTCCTTACCAAAAGTGTCTCTCCCCTTAACTAATTAGTTAATTGTATAATATTTGTTTAAGCACTGACTTTGTCCCAGGAATTGGGTGAACCATTGTCGATACTGTCGTAGGCAAAACTAACAAGGTGAACAAAACAGATGAGACTTATGAAGCTCACATATTATTGAGAGAGAGAGACTAAAAAATAAAAACACACATAACATATGATTACAAAGCAGTAAAGTACTGTGAAGATAGATACAGTGAAAGTGGTACAAGGGCATATGATTGTGACCCAGACTTGTTCTGGGGGTCAGAAAGCCTTCCTAGAGGAGGTGAAATCTCAGCCGCGAACTGAAGGGTAAAAAGGTTTTCTAAATGCTAATGGGTAATCATTCAGGCAAAGGGAACAGCATGTGCAAAGACTTTGAGGCAGAAGGGAGTATGGCGCATTGAAGAACTCGGAGAAAGCCAGTCTGGCTGAAGTTTGGAGAGCAAGGCAGCTTGTGTAGACTAATGAGGCAAAGGAAGAATGAGGCAGGAACCGGGTCATGTGGGCCAGGCTAGAGGTTTTGAACTCCATCCTGAAGCAGTGGAAGCACACTGAAGGGCTCTAAGCAGGAAAGTGAAAAGATTGATCAACTTTTTTTCCCCCAAAGATCAGACATTGGTTCGTATGTATCATTTGTTTGCATTTGTGTATAAAAAAGAAAAAATATACATATGTATATGTGGGTATATGAATTGAACAGCCCTGGAAGAGTGTACAAGAAATTTGTAACAGGGCTACATCTGAGGAGTAAGGGAAGGCAGGGAGTTGGGAGAAGATGTTTATTTTTCATTTGATAATCTTTTGCATGCTTAGTAAATATCCACACAAAATAACGACTCTGGCAGTGATGTGGAGCAGGAATTGAAAAGAGGTAGAGAATGGACAGGAAGCGATTTCACCAGACTGGGTGACAATTATGGGAGTGTATATTGACTCCATTGTCCTTGAATTTTATTTCATGTCTTTGTGAAATGACTATAATAGAGTAGCCTGGTGCTGGGGAGGAGAGAATAAGTACCAGAAGCAACCAGGCCATTTGGCTCAGGAACCCTAAAATGGGAATAAGAGTCACGTGCTCCACCCTTTCATCCCAGGATTCATGTAAGGGGGAAGTGGTCAGTGTGAGGTCCTGCTGTGTGACTATCCATTTGGAAAGTGTTTTACATCCTTGTCCCCTTAGCTCCATTGGTTGACATGGTGCTGGGTGACATACGGTAAATGATATAGTATTAATTGTGTTTTTTATTCCATACAAGTTCTTACTTTGTAATTTCATATAAGAACTATAGGAAGAAGAGTTTATTGTTCTCACTTTAAGAATGACAAGGCTGAG